CGGCCCCGCCCCTCCTCACCCGGACAGCCTTTTGCGCGGCGTCGCTGCTGCCTGCCACCACCGTGCGGGGTCCCCCCATGCCGCAGAGGCCGCGCAGGTGGGAGGGGCCCGAGACCCGCACGGTGGAGACCGCGAAGTCCTAGGCAGAGCAAAAAGGGTATTCAGGGGCTGCGGGAGGTGTTAAGGGGTACCCTAGACGCCGGCTGCCCTCGGCCTTCCCCTGGGTTCCGCACCTGCGCACGCTCCCTCCCTAGGCGGTCCCGCTCCTCACCCGGAACGTGTCGGCCACTATCTCTGCCCCTCGGTGGTTGGTCCACTTGGACAGGCCTACGAAAAACTCCCGGCCTGGGTCCGGGCGGGAGGCGAGGTGAACGAGTTGGAAACAAGACCAGAGACCGCCAGTCTCCCAAATTCTTCCCCGTGCCAAGACCACGGCGTGCCGGCACCCCAGCCTCACCGGTGAAGAGAACGTCGGTGCCATCCAGCGTCGCGTTCTCGTCCCCTACCTCCACAATTCGGAGCCCCAAGTCCTGGAGGGCTTTGCGGACTCCATCGACCTTCGGGCAGGAGAGCAGGGCGCGGGACTGAGAGCCCCGCCCTCGGTCCTTCCCCAGCGCCCGGGTCGTGCAGCCCCTGCCCTCCTCCCTACCGCATCGTCCTGCAGGCGCTCACCTCCGGCCTGCGGGCCGGGCTCCAGGGCCGCGTGATTAGGGCCGTGTCCCCTTGAATCACGGCCGTGTCACCGAGCAGCGGTCCCAGCGGTAGTGACTCCTCAGGAGGCAGTTCTAGCAGCTGCAGCCCCAGTCGTTGCCTCAGTTTACCCCCCAGGACCCCGTGCTCCCTTTGAGCTTTGGCCAGGTCCAGAGCCGGGAGGCCAGCTCCCGCCCCCTCCCCCGACGCCAAGCTCTCTGGGACCCCCCGGATCAGGGCATGGGAGCAGCGGCCCAGCCCCTCCCCCGGCGTCCCCATCCCATCCACACGGACGGCCCCTCCGGCCACGCTGATCTCTCTTAGTTTTCTCTTACTTCGCCTGTCTGGGAGAAGAACAGAAAAGGGGGTGGGGTGGGGGGGGGGAGACGTGAGAGAAGGGCGTGGGATGGTTAAAACGCCCAGGTCTTCCACTGCCATCTCCGGGCGCCACTCCTTCTGCGCCCCACCCCATCCAGACCTTCTAGCGACCCCACTGCATCCCGCGCCCTCAGGGGTCTGCTTGTTTAGGAGCAGTCCGAGGAACGAGACTAGGATCCCTAATCTCCAAAACACCTGTTGCCCCTTGCTCGGGGGCTTCGAGAGGTCCCAGCCCGGCGCCCCTCTTGGCAGCCGCTAGGATGCGCTCATTCCCCAAAAATGTAGCGGCCCCGCCCCCTTAACCCTCAGCCGCTCGCAGCTGGAGGGACCCAAAGTCTGGCCAGGGGCTCACCAGGGTTATGGGACAGGAGGAGAATGCTAGAGAGTCAGGAGCTGGGGGATGGAAGTCCTAGACCCCCAAACGAGGGGCAGGGAGAGGCCCAGGCGAAGAAGAATTAGCGCCTAAGGAGTTAAGCATCCTCTCTTCACCCCGACTGGTCACGCTGCCCCTAGCGCGACCCAGTATAAACCAGACCGAGTCCCGGAGGACTGGGAGAGGTCTACAACCAGATCCGAGGGGCGGAGAGACCGGGGGCGTGGTTCCCGGGCGCGGGCGCCACTCCTGGCTCCAACGCCCGCTCCTCCTGTCCATCTTCCCTCAAAGTCCACCCCGTTCTGCTCCGCACACAAATACCGGCTCCCGAACTCTCCGCCCGGTGCAGACTCAAGCCCAGCACCCCTAAACTCAGCCACCAGACAGTCCAGGGGCCATCTCCCATCCCAGACTCACCTCCAGCAGCCACCCCCTCTGCTGCCGCGCTGTGATCTCCCCTAGGGCTCCACCCCTACCCTGAAGACAGAGTTGGTGGTGGAGTCTTAGTCTTCAAGCCTCGGGAACTGGGAGCTCTGGCTTTTGAGGGGTCCCTGGGTGGGCGAGCTCACGTATTACGATGGGGCGGGGGCGCGACGGTCTGGCGGCTCCGGGGCATTGTCTAAGCGGGACGGGGCTGGGCTTCCCGAGGCCACGCCCACTCCGCCCAGCTAGGCCGCGCCCATTCCGCCCGGACAGCGCCCCCTCCCCGAGCGGCCCCGCCCGGCGAGCGCTGCCCAGGCCCACCCAGATCTGGCTGGCTCTGGCGGCGGCGGACCTGCAAATGCGGCATGGACCACAGGCAGCACAACGGTGGACCGGCACTAAAAACAAACCCGGCAGTCCAACCACAAACACCCCGCTTTCTTAATTCCCGCTTCCACCCCACGCTCAGTATCACTGACCCACCCACCTCTCACTCCATTTCAAGCCATTTTGTGTAGAAACACCACTAGATTTTCATTCTGTATTTTATTACTGAAACACGTTGTCCTACCCATCCCACCCACAATAAAAATCTCGCCCCAGTCCCTCACGCTTTCATCTCATTGCCCTACCCCGGCCCTGCACAAATGCTCCCAGATTCCCTATCCCCTGGCCATTCTGGAGTTTGTCCATTGGGTGGCAATGTGAAAAGCACCCAGGGCCTTTGTGGAGACAATCCAAGCGGGCAAGGGGTTCCCCAAAAGGGGCTTATTTGAGGGCCTTGGCCACTTGCTCATAGGCCAGTTCAATCTCCTCGTCATCTGGACACGTGGAGGCGAATTCTTCCCGAGCATAGGCATTGCTTAAGTACCGATGAACTCCCCGAAAGGCTTCTGGGATGGTGAAGCCCCGATATTTCTTACACACCACCTGCACTACGTGCGTGTTTTTTTGACCCCCCCCCGGGGGGGGGGGGGGAGGAAAGGGATCAGAACATTAGCCCCAGCTCCAGAGAAGCCACCCTGGCCGCCAAGCTGTTGATCTTTTTCTTCCCCCAAAGCCTACATGATAGAATCCAGCCTTCCTGTCCAGGTATTCAGAACCTGGTTTCTCTTCCTCCCAGCTCTTCTCTCCCACAGGAATCCTCTTCCCCAGCTGGCCTTCTCTACTCCTCCCATCTTGTAATGCCTTCACCCCTCCTGTCACATACTGAAGTCCTGGTCATTAGTAACCAGACCCTTTCCAGACCAACACATTCCATTCCATTCCATTCCATGCAGTTACTTTTCCCTCTAGATTATTTTTATTTATTTATTTATTTATTTAAGCTTATTTCTTTATAGAGAAAGAAGGAATGAGAGAGAGACAGGCACCCACAGGGTCTTCATCGGCCATATGGGAATCCAGCACGTTAACCACCACACCACCTGCTGCCCCCCATTCTGGATTTATCTTTAAACTGAGGTTAAGGGGTCAGCAGATGGCATGGTGGTTAAGGGCGCTGGACTCCCACATGGCCAAGTGCGGTTCGAGTCTAGGACCTGGTGGCTTGCTTTCTCACTTTCTCTCCCTCCCTCTCACTATGTCCCTCTCTGTTCAAATAAAATAAATAAATAAATTTCAATTAAATAATTAAAAAAATATATAAAAACTGATAGAATTCACACAGAATTCTCATTTCATAGTAAAGTTTGTCTCTCTTTCACTTGACTTTTTTTTTGAGAGATTTTCACTGTAGGGCACGTGCGCTCGCCAGACAGACAGAGAGAGACATAGAGACAGAAAGCGAGAAATCACCCCCCAGGGGGGATGGTCACGCCGCAATCCCTTCTCCTCCCTTCTCCTCTCGGGATCTTGGGCACGCACGCACACGCGCCCGGCGTGAGTTTTAAGCCACCGGGTCCGGGACACGACCCGCGGTCGACTACGTGGGAGTCCAGCGACATAGCCATTACGCTAACTGCTGGTTCCCTCACTTGACTTTTTTTAAGAATTATTTTTATTTACTTTTATTTATTGTCATTTTATTATTATTATTATTATTTTGAAGTTGACCAGAAAAAGACAGAGAGCCCTTTCAGCCACCACACTATACTTGGCTCATTGGATTTCAAGATTCTGATGAGTTCAAGGTCTGGTGCCCAAGATTGATATCTGCACATTTGTGGTAAAATATGAACCTATCTTCCTTTGGTTGAGATACAAAAAAAAAAAAAAAAAAAAAAAAAACCCCAAAAAAAAAAACCCCTTA